TACAACTAACTTTGTAAGTCAAGGACTGCCTGTAAAATAGATTACATGTTTAAGCATATTATACACACTATATTGATAGCTACATTAACACAAGATGGATTATTTTTATATTATTTCAAATTCAAACAGGTTTGAGAAACACTTTGTTTTAAAATCACCTTTCTGTCTGAAGATGAATACCTTTTGCTATACCTAAGATAACTGGATCTGAAATATTAAAGCTGTATGTTTTCCAACTTTTCTTCCAAGTATGCATTTTTCCAAGGAGTCTTTTTTTTTTTTTTAGAATCTTTGTTTAAAAATGAGATATAAATGAGATGTGATTTTGTAATAACGAGCATTCTTGTTATTAAGAATATAAACATAGTATTCTATCATCGTGTGTATGTTAGCTCACTGCATAACCTAGGACTGGAGGGAGCCTGGTCTACTGAGGCTAGTCCCCTGCATTTGCAAGCAACCATTTGCACAAGGACTCCCTAGAATTCCCCCTTCAAAACCTCTCACGAGTGCAAGGCACAGTATATGAAACACCAAGAGCACTTTAGAATATGTCATAATTCAGCTGCATCAGACTTAAATGACTTGGTGGGCTGGATCCAGACAGAAGGGCTTCTGGTGGTCCAGTTCCAGACCATGAGATTAATGCTGCTTACCAAACAGCAATTGAAAACCAGAAATTTGACAGAAGGTGAGGGGCAGGCCAGCACTAATTCCCTTGATACTGGCCATCCTGGCATGACAGTTCTGGGAACCACAACAAGATGTGCTGCAGGCTGGTGACCTACTTCCATGGACTGGGTTCAGCCCACAAACTGTATGGCTGACACCTGTGCCACAGGTAAAGAAGGTGATGTCATGGCCAGTGCCTTGCCACTGTGATGACAAGGATGTAGGCGGTTAATATATGCTCAGATAATCTCAAGAAAGCACCATGGCCCATGTCTCTGAGGAAAGCAGAAGTCTCCCAGAGTCTGTACACATTTGATCTCATCCAGAAATTCCTTCCGGACTAAATTTGGTCATTGGATTGGTCCTGCACAGAAGAGAGAATCACAAACCTATCTGGCTTCTCTAAGTACTGGTAGGAGCATCAATTCACCCCAGGCAAACAAGCCTCTTCATCTCTGTTTTGTTAAGCTAACAAACCAAGATCCTTTAATATGCTTTCAAAAGAAAAGTTGTCAGTTCTATTAACTGTTTTAATGGCCCATCTTTGAATCTTCTTCATTATAAGTTAATCTTTTTTTGAACATTAGTAACTGTAACTCTGAAAGGCATACAGAGTGGTAGTAGTACCACCTGGTCTTTACTAAGTACATCTTCCCTAATATACTTTAGGATTGCATTGCCCCTTTTCACAGCTGTCACATTCGTGTTTCATTGAACCATAAGGTCAACCAATACATTTATGTCCCTCCCTCCTGCCCTCGGGTTTCTCCGGTCTCTTTACCCTTATCTTGTAGTTGAAGTCCTTATTGGTCTGTAAATACATTTCACTTTACACTGTTAAACTTCTTTCCATTTCTAATGTTCTGTTCCACAAGATTAGCTAAATCTTCTTGCATAAGACTCCCATTCTCTTCCATACAGGCAATAACTCTCAGTTAGTGTCAGCTGCTAACTTTACTAGGACAAACCTAGTTCCAGGAACATAAACATTTTTAATGGGGATTCGTCCTAAGGTTGATCGCTGAGGAACATTGATGGTAACCATATTCCAGTGAAATATTTTGCTTTTCAGCATAACCCATGCTAATTGCCCTTTAAGCAAACTCCTTATCCACTTCACAGTTGCAATGCTGGTTCCTGTCCTCTCCAGGGTGGCCAGAATTTCCTCTGAGGCATGTTATTATAAGCTTTGCTTAAAAATCTAGATAAATTAAGTTTACCATATTACTCTTATCCAAGAAGTATGTTATCTTGTCATAGAATGATAATTAAATCAGTATGACATGTTTAAATCCCATTTTCTGTTTGCTTCCATTTGTTTGCCTATATTTTCCTATAATATAAATAATGTGTTACTAGTCCCATTTTTTGCCTGTTCCTTACAGTATAAGAAATACTAGCTATGTATGTATTAAGTGAATAATATGTTTAAGTCCATAGTATATTTTGGCCCTATTCACTCCTTTGAAATATAATTACACTCCATTTAGCTGCATTTTGCCCATCTTCAGGAAGGGGATAAGAGAGAACCTGGGCAACTATAGGCCAATTAGCCTAACTTCTATCCCAGGGAAAATCCTGGAAAAATTCATTGACAAGTCTATGTTCAATACACTTGCAGAAGGTAGGATTCTGAATGACAGCCAGCATGGCTTCATCATGGGTAGGTCTTGTTTTACCAATCTCATCTCCTTCTACAGCCAGGTAACTCGCCACCTGGATAAGAGAGAGGAGATTGATATTGTATACCTAGACTTCCAAAAAGGCCTTTGATCTGGTATCCCATGATGTTCTCACAGGAAAACTGGAGGATTGCGGGCTTAACTGCTCGAAGTCAGGTGGGTAGGAAGCTGGCTGCAGGGTAGGACCCAGAGCGTTCTAATGAACGGATCTGTGTTGTTCTGGTGAGAAGTGGCCAGTGGTGTCCCTTAGGGGTGCTTTTCAACATCTTTATCAATGATTTGCATGTGAGGGTAAAGAACTCACTGACCAAGTTTGCAGATGACACCAGGTTAGGGGGGGAGCATGGTCACACTGGAAGGTAGGCTGGAGATGCAGGTAGACCTAGACAGGCTAGCAAATTGGGTCGATTGGAACCAGATGAAGTTCAACTCTGAGAACTGTAAGGTGCTCTATATGGCGGCAAACAATCCCCAATATACAGGCTCGGTGGCGCCATAATGACTAGCACCACGACTGAAAGGGATGTAGGGGTAATAATAGACCATAGTATGAACATGAGCTGTCAGTGCGATGCTGTAGCCAGCAGGGCAAACAATATTCTGGCATGCATCAACTCATGCATCTCAAGCAAAACCAAGAAAGCGATTCTTCCACTTTACTTGGCATTGGTGAGACTGCTGCTGGAGTACTGTGTCCAATTCTGGGTGACGCACTTCAACAAGGACATGGGAAAGCTTGAGAGAGTCCAGAGAAGAGCCACCTGTATGATCAGAGACTTGCAAGGCAAGCCATATGAGGAAAGGCTGAGGGACTTGAGCCTCTTCAGCCTAAAAAGAAGGCTGAGAAGGGACTTGGTAGCAGCTTACTGCTACATCAGAGGAATACATCAAGGGCTTGGCAGACAACTGTTCACCAGGGCACCCTTGGGGAAAACCAGGAGTAATGACCACAAACTCCTGGAAGACCATTTCAAGCTTAACACCAAGAAAAACTTCTTCACAGTCAGGGTGTCAAGACTGTGGAATAAGCTCCTTCCAGAGGTGGTGCGATCATCTACCCTGGAGATCTTCAAGAGGAGACTGGATGGTCACCTTGCTGGGGTCACCTGACCCCAGTTGTCTTTCCTGCCTAGTACAGGGGGCTGGACGCGATGATCTTGCAAGGTCCCTTCCAGTCCCTTACAATCTATGAATAACTAGTACCAGATATGTTTTTGACGAATCAAGACCGACTAATTTACTATTATATGTAAAACCATTTGCCTTCCTTAAGTCAAAAAGATTTGGCCTTATTTTTTCCTGCTTGATAACTCTTCAGTGATGGAGTTAGCATCTTGACATCTTAAATTTAATGTTTTTTTACAGTCGTCTGTTAAAGTAAGTTTAAAGTAAGTTATTCTATAAATAAGTACACACGCATGCCTTTCTATCACATTATCCTTACTTTTTTTTCAGCATAAGATATGATAAGTTAATCATTTGAATTCAGTTTTAAGGGTTGTTAAATCAGTAGTGCATTCTTTAAATATCATATACTGAGTTTTTTTATACAGCATATTTCAAAATTAAGTGTTCTGCTTATTTTTAGAGCTAGGAAGATCTTTTGAAGGAACCTGAAAGCAGCGCTACTAAATGTATTGAGATGTACAAATGTATTGCCCTTTTCGATGTCTGCTGCTTGTACAGTTTCCATTTAAACTTAGCTGGTGAATGAAATATAATATTTTTCTTCGTATATTATACTGGTAGGTACTACTTCAGGTAGACTGATAATACTTTGTGGCAGTTTTGCGGTGCAGATACACGTTTGCTCATTTTACTGATGGAAAGATCAGAGAGAAATCAATTATTCTTTCTTCATCTGATTTCAGCTTTGAACAGTGTAGTGGTTCAGGTTTCAGAATGCTTTATGGGCACCTTCTTTTTTTTTTTTTTTTTAAATGAGAATATGAGTAGGAAATTTTTAGATGATGTTTACTTATACAGGCAAAGTAATTTACTTGTACTTTTCTGAAGATAGTGTCCTCTCTCAGTTTACAGTTGGCCACTCACAATTTTTGCAAAGTTGATAGCCAATCAGATATTTTCAGGCATTTGAGAGAGAGGGGAAATAAATATGATGTGCCCTAGTGACTCATTACAGCCTCAACTGTAACTGAATCATGGAGGGAATCTGTTTAATTACTAAAAGTCTTGCCAGTTTTCCTTGATCAGGAGATGTTTTAACTAGGTATAGCTGTGCAAGGGTTTCTTCCAGTAGATAATTTTAGCAAAATATGTTGCTTCCTTAGTCTATTAGAGTTCATGCTTTTCAGGACAGAGCATTTCTCTGCCTTGCTTTGCATCAATTGCCACACCACACCACAGGGTGTTAAAAATGAATAGCCTTTACCTGGGTCATTATTTCTAAGGTCACCTTGGTAACTAACCCAGCCTGCTCAGTAATGAGGAGGAAAAGAGGCCTTTCTGCAACATGTCAGTTATTTATTCTTTTCCGAAACTGGCATTGGAACCATTCATGATCTACTGTTGCAGGAGCCTAATGTTCATAAACAACCCACTTCTTCCTTCATTAAGAAGCGGAATCATAATGAGGAGAGAAACCACATGAGCCTACATGCCCATAAAATCTGCTTTATTCCAAAGGATGAAGTAGAGCTGCAGCAAGATGAAGAGAACCTGCCCTATGAAGAAGAGATTTACAAAGATTCCAGTACCTTCCTTAAGGTAAACTATTCCTGCAGTTAGATCTACCTTGATATGGTTGCATTAAGCCGTTTCCATAGCTGATGTAGTTTGAAATATGATTGAGGGGAGAATTGGCACCCCCTGATTATCAAATTAATAAATAGCCCATGTTTCAGGCTAAGCTGAGCCACAGTGAACCTAAGAGCCACAGTGAACCTGCATCAACAGCTAAAAAATTGTAGTAATAGAGATATTTTTAGTTTAAGAACACAGGTTGAGGAAAGGGGTAGAGTAGTTTACAACAGTTAGGATTTCCTAGTTTATATGTTGCTAATGTATGTGAACTGTGTGTCATTTGCTTCCTCCCTTTTTTATAGGGAACCCAGAGCTTAAATCCTCACAATGATTATTGCCAGCACTTCGTGGATACCGGGCACAGGCCTCAGAACTTTATCAGAGATGTGGGTATGTCATAGTAGTCCAAACAAACAACTGACTTTCTCATTTTTCTGCACCTGCACCTTTTGCACCTATGCTTGCTTTTATTTTTACTTTTATTTTGATTTCTATAAAAATAAGGGAATGAGAGAGACTTGGATAAAATTTGACTCTATTACCTGTCATATAAGTTAAATATGAAGATGAAGTACCCCTCGGGTGGTTTCCCCACTTCACAGTAAAGCAGTTAGTTCTGACTATAGAGCTCTTGTTCAGAGAAGCAGTGTAGTCTAGTGGACTGATCCATTGTCCTTCAATCCTATGGATGACTGTTTTCTAATCCTGACCCAGTTTATGGCTTCATTTTGTGGCCACAGAAGTACCTTTGATATCAGTCTTTCTCTTCATGTATAAAATACAGAAAATAGCACCACTGCAAGATAGGTTAGTACCAAAGATTCATTATCATGTCAGGAAGGCATAACAGTTTAAGTCAGTATAGTTGCACATGTTCTGGGCAGTACTAAATTCATCCAGCTGTCATCTTATAAAGCATAGATTCAGTGCAAGATAAAATTAGATTTCAGGGTGCAAAATATGTCTTTGTGCTAATGCAAAACCTACTCTGATACTACATCTGGATGCTGCTACAATATAAACTTACTTCCTCCCTCCATCTACTGAGTGATTAACACCAAATTTTAGCGTGGATATTGAGAACGTTTTACAGGTTGTAACATAAAGTTGGCATTTGTAATAAATTCTGCATGTTCTGGACCATGCATGTCTTCTAGCAGGAAACAAGTTCCTTTCAGTTCTTTTATTAAAAAGGGAGCTTTACCTCCAAAGTAGATAGAGTACTTCCAAAAAAGCAGGTTGTAACACATCTCAGGTCCTAAACTGCTGTTAGCATTTGGTTTACATTACTACTAATATGAGGTTTTGGCTTTTCTTCCCCTCACATTGCTGTTCGGGGAGGCAGCAAGGTAGCAGCGATAACCAAGCCAACGTGACTGTTTTCATTCAGGTTCATTCATAGATTTCATAGATTTCTAGGGTTGGAAGGGACCTGGCATATCATCAGGTCTGACCCACTGCTCCAGGCAGGAAAGAGTACTGTGGTTATTAAGTAACCCCAGCCAGATGCCTATCCAATCTCTTCTTGAACACTTCCAAGGTAGGGGAATGCACCACCTCCCTTGGAAGCCCATATTTTGGCAACCCTCACCATGAAGAATTTCTTCCTTATGTCCAATCTAAATCTATTCTCCTTCGTTTGTGGCCATCATTTCTGGTAACCCTGAGGGTTTCATGTAGGTGAAGTACTTGTGAGAGAGAGAAGGAAATGCTATTTGTATTTGCTCAGATACCTGAAGTGTGAGAATTAACCTTTCAGTCCATTTTTTCCATTAAATTGGGAGGCATGTTAGAACTACTGCTTAAATACAATAAACCAAATAGGAATTTTGACAAAAATTAAAGGAGAATGATTCCTTGTAGATCATGAGCTTTAAACTGAATGGGTGAACAAACATAAAAGAATTTTGCAAGTTGCAAATTGCAATAAAGTTGAGTTAATATTTGGGGTTGTCTGCTTTATAGCTTTTACTGCCACAGAAAATATTTAAATTTAACAGCATGTTTTCTTCAACTCAGGCTTAGCAGACAGGTTTGAAGAATATCCAAAACTTCGAGAACTCATTAGACTGAAGGATGAGCTAATTGCTAAATCTAACACTCCCCCCATGTAAGTGTTTTTGTTAGAAACTGGTTTCCCCTATCCAGACTGGTTTAATATTAGCTGTCTGCTCCACAAATCTTTCAGCACCTGTTAAAGATTTACACTTTCTATTTCTGGTTTGTATATGTAAATTAAATCACCAAAACTTCAAAACAATATAACTTTTATTTTGGATAATTTAATCTAAGGGTTTAATTGGTGTCTATATATAGATTAGATTTTTTTTTTTTTTTTTTACTAGAGAATGATTGTTTATAAAACCTAAAGCTCTGTTTTTTAAACTGTACTTTCAACCTCACTGAGATGCAAACATACATCTGGCAGCCAGAAAGGAGAAATAATCACAAGTTTAATACGTTATAGTTTCAAACCACAAGGAAGCCTTTAAAAAAACAGACAATCACCTCTTTAAGACTTTGACCTGAATATTATGAAAAGGTTGTTCTTACAATAGGAATATCTTATGTGTGCATAAGATATAAGCTAACATATTAGTCTCCATGCTGTTCTGATCTATGTTAAAATAAGAAAATCTGAAGCTATGTATTAAACCTAATTAACCTTCAAGTTTCTGCAGATTTTCAGCTCTAATTTGAAATATGCAATATGTTTATCCTGCTTGGTTAAAACCTTATGAAAGTAAATTAGTGTGTTAATTTTAATTTGCATTCAGGAAGAAGAAACTTTTAGCACTTCTTGTGCACGATCCTTTGAAATTTCAGAATAATTGAGAAATGCAAATTATATGCTAATTTCAATGAAAGAATTCTGAAACCTAATGAGAGCTTCAGAAATGTTAAATTTAATTATTTATACTCTCACTATTATTCGCTTATGGTAGCATTTTGAATACTACCATTTTTTTTATTGCATAATGCAAAACTCAACAGTTCAAATGGCAACCCCTAATTAGACAAAATAAAATTAATAGAAAAATTCCTTTCTGGCTGTATGGTTGGTCGATACCTCTGTCTGAGTCAGGACATTCAGGATACTGAGAATTTACATTTTCATTGAGCTATAACAGTAATTTACAGTGCCTAGAAAGGAAAATATAGGTGGATTGGGCAGGTATCATATTTGTGTGTTTAAATCCCAGAAATATGTTGCTTTTACCCTATATCATGCTTTATTATGCCATTTAAAAACAGAATTCCCAGTAGATTGTATATGATCACACTCCTTATATGCAAAATCTATATAGAGCTTAAAGATGTATTATATTTTTGGGCCCGTGGCAGACGTTACAGCTATTGTAAGAAAATAAGCCTTTAATCACATCATAAATTGTTACATTCCACATGTTCAAGGAACAAATCATGATAGAATGACAGACAAACCATGAAGATGTTACTTGTTAAATGTGGAGTATCTTTATAACTGGTTTCTGCTGTGATTTAATTTGAGCGTGAAGCAAGTTAAACGTTCAGTGACTGGATGTTGTTAGGTCCTTCAGCATCCCAGAGTGCATTGCTCCTCTCCCCCACCTTCTCCACTGGTCCCAGAGCAGCAGCCTGGGCTATCAAATGCAGCACAGAGCCTCATGTAGGGGTGACAGGCATGCTGTCTGCTCCTTCATACCTGCAGGCAAACAAGGGCTGTTATCACAGTCCTAGCTGCTGCCCTGGGACCCTCATCCAGTCACCCTCACAACACTTCTGTACAAGCCGGAGTAAGGCTGCTGGAGCAGGAGGCACACATGACCCAGACTAGGAGTACTGGGCCAGGATGAGTTTTGCTGGATCTTAAGCCTGTTAGAGGCATAAGAGGACAGTCAGGCTTGTCCTTCTGCTGTGCAGGGAGTGGGAAAAGACCTAACATGGCTGGGCCTGGCCTGGGGGACCCTGGCCAATGCCCAGCAGCAAGGAAATGCCCCCTACACAGTTGGGTACCCTGGCCAATGTCGAGCAGCAAGGAAATGCCCCCTACACAGTTGGGGCTCTCCAGTTCGCCCAGCTCCACCAGCACAAGCTTGCAAGGTTCTTTCCCCTGTCCCATCCTCCCCACCCTCTCTGTCTCCCCCTACCAACAGCCTATCCTTTGCATGTGAAGTCACTCACATTACTCAGTGTTTCCATCCTACAGCAACATTTTTAGTTGCCCTTGCACAATTAAAATAATGTCTGTGAGATGTCTTAGGGTTGCCACCCCTCTGTCTTCCTAACTCAAAATAAAAATAGATTTTTGTCTGAGCTGTGAAATCTATAAATTTCTCTCTGACTAGGAGCTGAGATGAGAAGCAACTGGTTTCTATTTTCTAACTGTAGACATTCTTTAAATGCATTCCGTGCCCGTAACCAATTTCTGTGGAAAAGGTCAGTGTTGCACCAGATCTGGGCATACAAATGGATGCCTTGTTTTTTCCCCTCCAATCCTAATAGTGCCATCAAGGAAGAGGGCTCCTTTTTGAAAACAATAGTTTCAATGCGGTCTGAGAGATCTACAACCCCCTAACCCCCTGTTCATCATTTCATATCATCACTGTGGCTGCTTGCGTGGCAAATAAGTTAAATAAAATATTTAATGCACTGTTAGCTGTACTTAATGTGTTATATCTGTGTAGTCTAAGAAAAAACATAGCTCTTGATTGACATTAAGCAAGTGGAACTTAATGGGGGAACCACTGTTCTACCCTGTCCAAGTACTTTGTCATAATTCATTATTTGTTCAACTAGGTATTTACAAGCAGACTTGGAGGCTTTTGACATAAGGGAACTAAAATCCAAGTTTGATGTGATTCTGTTGGAACCTCCATTGGAAGAATATTACAGAGAGACTGGCATCACAGCCAATGAAAAATGCTGGACTTGGGATGATGTAAGCTTTTTTTGTTCTCCATGCTGTTCCAAAAGTCTTTGTAAACATCTGTATAAAATAGAAGTTCACCCAGATCAGTTTAGGTTTGTTAACATAGGATTTTTGCATAGGATTTGTTCAGAAAGTTACACCTCTTAAAACTAAGGTCTTAATCCACATGTATTTAAGTAACTCTCAAAACACTTCTTAAATTGGGCATATGCTATTTTTGCTCCTTTCTGATGCACTAAGAAGGCCTCAGAGATGTTTTAAAAAATGAGTAAATAAAACCAATCTATGTTTTCTCTGATTGTTTTTAATGTTTTGAAAAATCAGGAGCATTATGTTTGATGTTGTGTGGTTTCGTTGGAGGACTGACTGAGCAGGCTCTGAAAGCATATTATGGTAACTAGTTCCTGAACTGGAAGGTTAAGGCAGTGTTCAGTCCTCCTTTCTCTGAAAGAATTGTTAGGTACTGGAGTTGAACAAGAGTTAGCAAAAAGCAACCATAATCCACCTTAATCCTCAGATATCTGACAGTCAAGTTCCCTTAGTTCTGGAATTGCTGTTTCTTGAATTATGGGGGGGGTCACTTTATACACCACAGGCATTTTTGAAAGAGTCAAAATCAGAGTTCCCAATATCTTAAAAGATGTGGGGTGGAGGTACCAGGATAGAGTTATATTCTAGAAAACAAGCATACAGCCCCCCCCCCACCCCGCTTTTTTTCTCTTTTCACTACTTTTTTATTATTAAAGTGTGTATACTCTTGATTCAGTTAGCACGAGGAGAAATGTTGTTTTTTTTTTTTAATTAAACATATAACACACTTCTAAGAAGTCTTTTCATAAGCAGAAGAAAACCACATTGTTGCAATCTTAAACAGCTCTAAACCCATAATTTCTCATGATTATCCCATCTGTCATTCATCCTCCCCAAGAAGAAAAAGCCTGGAAAGCCAGAATCGGGCATAGCAACCCAGTTCTCTCAGGAGCTGTGTGTTGAGTGCTGTTCAAAACTGTGACAGTTGACAATGCCAGCCATGTTGCTTGGAGTGATTTTTAGAACTGAATCCAAAGAGCAAGATCTTTCTTCATTAGCTGAGCATTTTTGCCTTTAGTCCATGGAAACAGAGTTAGAAAGATAAGAGTTTCTGTCAAGTAAAAAAACCCAGTTATTCCAGGAACCATTAGATTTAGATGTCAGGAAAATACAGAGTTTGCAGATACTTGTCTTTTAAAATGGAAAGAAATGGATTTGTTAATGAACGGAAATGGGTTTGTTAATGAATGGAAATGGAAATGGGTTTGTTAATGAATGGAATCTTTCTAAATTGGAGACAAAGCTAGGAAAAATATCCACGTTCTTTGTCATGATTTAAGAACAAGCCTATGGCTCCTATTCATAAAACTCTCAAGTGTGTAAGTTTGGTTGAGATGCATACACATGATGAAAAAACATGGATGCCACTGGTAACCCAAACTCTCATTTCTCTCTAGCATATGGGTTTGGAAACAGTGACACCATACCTGTGATGTAAGCTTATGGAAAACTTTCACATTACAATTCCAGCAAGACATGTTGAAGCACTGAGGAAGTGTATAAGGGAAGAGACTTAAGTGTCACTATTGTATCTTGCAGCCATTTCTGTTGCATCATTATTTTTTCACAATGGCAGTGAATGAGTCTTGATTTGATGCGTTAGCAAGTTATAGATTAATCTTTTCAGCTTGTAATGAATAACAGATGCATGCATCTGAAGTTATTGTACCCTAAATGTTGTTCATCACTTTTTGAGCCTCCATTCTGACACGCTTATTTTCTCTAGAGCTGGAAATGGAAGTATTTTAAAGTAATAGGTATCAGACTAGTTTTAGATAAGCATTTAAAGAAAAACAGATGCCCTGCACTTAAACTGCTAAGGAGATGACACTAAGATGAATACATATATTCAGGAAAACTGTATTGGTTATAAATGCATTTGGATTCAATGTTAGATTTGGTTTCACTCGCTTCAAATTGAATAATTATCATTGGCCAATAACTGTATATATTTCCAAAATGGCAGTGCATTATTTTTAATTGAAACCAGTTTTCTGCTTCCATTTTTTAAATATTCTGAATGCCTCATAAGGTACAGCAAGAGAGAAGAGTGCCAGAACACTTAGGATGGTACCATGTGGGTACTGGTGAACTCATTTTTTTTTAATAAACTTATTGGACAATGGATTTAAAGTGACAGCAGTAAAGGAAATGAGACTAGACGAACATCTTTAATTAATGTGTATTCTTAAAGTTTCCATAGCAATGCAAAACATGGGAAATGTTCTTCCTGCTAGAATCTGCAACCACGTGAAATATATTAAATACTTGATTTGGAAAACATTAAATGCTTCATTGTAGATTATGAAACTGGAAATTGAAGAGATTGCAGCCCCAAGATCATTTGTCTTTCTATGGTGTGGCTCAGGAGAGGGCCTGGATCTTGGCAGAGTGGTGAGAATATGTTTTAATTTACAATTTTTTCTCAACCTAGATTAACACCTGATGCTACAGTGGCACTTTTTGCTGCATAGACTCCTCAGCTTGAAATGTTATGGGGCATTTAATTTTGTGTTGGGAGGTACAATGAGTGCTCAAACTAATTCATCATTAACTCTTTAGACACTGCTATTTTCCGGATGAGCAGCTGGGAATGTCTGAGGATCTGTAGTCTCTAAAGAGATACATTACAGTTTTGTTTCTAACTTACAGTTCCAGTGGAAGCAGGGAGCCTTATTTGTGATGATCGCATTACACTTTTAACTAAACAAATCATGGCTGAATATGTGCTTTTTGGTGCAGGCTTTCAAGATGGTGGCAGTCTTATATAAGTTATGAGAAACTCTGGTACATGTAACACTTTTATTTTTGTAAATTAAATCAATATAAATAAGCTGTCATTTGGTTTGTTTGGCTGCAACAAGTTATAGAACATAACTTTGTATGCAGTATCTTGTATATTATTAGTAGGTACTTACAGACGTGAACCCCTCAGTGCTTTACTTGCAGCTTAGTGCATCCCCACATCAAATGCAGCACATGCCCAGAGGAGTAATTGTGTCAGTTTTACCCGACTTGCTCAGCATTTGTATAGCTTGTGCATTCCCACCACATTTTGAAATAAACTCTCAAATTACAATTTGTGGGGCTTTTTGGTGCTTTTATCGAATAGCTGATTCAATCAGCTATTAGGTAAAAGTGCCAAAAAGCTCTGCAGAAGTGTGCAAGCTATATAGATGCTGGGAAGCCAGGTCAAACTGACGCGATTCCTCTTCCAGTATAGTGTGGGATTT